ACGTCGTACTTCTTTCATTTGATTACTCAGTAACATGGTTCAACATTTTATTTTATAAACGGCGTTGAACTGCCGATCCAATAGTGAGTTTACGACTATCAATGCTCAACTCCGTAGCCATGTCATTTTGAAGATGCTTGTCATTTGAACCTAGAAGACGAGGGAATTCCTGGCTCACACATTGGGCCAAACTAGATTTCATGAAGGACTTTTCGATGGAACTAATCCGCATTTGCGTTTAAATAGTGACTGATGCACGTTAAATCTGTCGAGTCTCAAAGTTCCCATACCTCTGGGGGTGCTGATCCAGGAGTTTCCTTGTCTTCTGGATGGGTTCAAAATTACAAGGTTAAGGAGTTGAACATTAGTAGTTGTAAACCCAAAATTGGGTCGGCTGTTCAACGACGGTTATGAAAGAAATAAAAATTTCCCACGGTTAGCCCGAAGGCAAGGGGATTCTAACTCATGATCCGTCTGTCACTGAGGATATTTTACGTCAGCCCTGTGGGAAGTGCGAGCCCGGAACAGAATTCATATAAAAAAAAAACACCGCTGGGATTCGAACCTGGGTCACTTCACTTGATCGATTCCCCGAGCCATTGCGGCTGATGATTTAACATCGAATCCATTTTTTTTTTTAGAGTTTATTCAGTGATTTAATATTATAGTGTCTGCTTTTTCTCAAATTCTCATAAAGAAGTAAACTGGTTAGCGTAAGTTAATTGTTTTTAATTTTTGAGCTTCGACATAGCCTAGTCAGTATTTTACGGAGAAATCAAGAATCGCTTATCGGAAAAACTCATTGAATAAATATTTAATCAAGCTTAGATTGAAAAAGTTTTGTAGATGAGTAAAATGGGTTACCTGAAAATAATAATAATAAATCTTCAGTTTCAAAAAAAGCACGTCGAAAGCGGATGGTAGAATCATAATGTAGCTAGCTATTCCAGACGGATATCAACATGACTCATTCAGCACGGCATGGATAATGTACGAGGACATCTTGAAGAACAAAAGCTATGAATCTCGAGGTTCAAGAAATGCGGATGAATGACAAATGAACTCCAAACGCTGTTCTATCCCCTCGAGGAAAGCTTCTATCACCACTATATTTTCTTCTTCTTCCACTCTATAATCTTCTCCTTCCACTGCATTTCATTTTCATATACTGGAAAAAAATGATACACCTCTAATAGTTTTTTAACACTATTATACCCTGTTCTATAACAATCATATATTTCTCCTTCTAATACAAAATCTTCTTCCTCGGTTACTTTTCGTAGCTACAGTCTTATAAATGTAATAATAATGCTTGGTTTCAATGTTCCATTGAAATGAGGAATCATTATTTAAATTTCGTCAGGGTTCCTACTCCATTTCAGGAAAAAAATTCACTGGCTTTTTCAGGTATATCAGGAAAATTTCAATGAAAATCCAAACCCTATTTTATTTATACCACGCAATTTTTCATGAGATTACTTTGATTGTGTTAATCTCTTGACATATCATTAAAAATTAAAACTCTAAACTGTGAGGAATTATTAATTTCTTGTTATAGAAATGATCTTTGATTGCACTGTAAACAACAACTCGCAGCGGAATGTTGTGTGGAAGACGTCTGAGACACGTCAATTATTGTTTTGACATAAGAAACAAATGACGTCTCCCAGACGTCTTCGTATGTCAAGGGGTTAATGTTAAGATTTTGTGAATGTTACAAACAAATGCTAAGATTAGAAAGAACAAATGTTAGATTTTGTAAGCAAAAAAATATCACTAAATAAGAATAGAAGCAAGGAAATTTATAAATATAACTAAATTTTTATTATTATATTCTTTTAAATTAATCAATTATTCAATTAATTTTTATATTGATTAGTATTTATTATTAATTAATATTTAATTGATTTTTATCATTAATTTAATACATGTATTTATTAATATAATTATTATAACTAAAATGTGAATTTTTTATAACAAATAATTGAAATATGAAATAGATGTCAGATTTGTTTAACTCGAATCTTAGTAACTGATTACTGTTACCGACAATTATGAGACTTGTTATTTTACAGGCATGATGTAGGAGTTTTCCAGTTTATTTCTTTTAAAAGAAAAAATTGCAGAATTTTTAAAGAAAAAACGAAATACAGATTGCATCGAAACAGAAAAGACAAGACTGTATATGAAGATTCTTTATTTTCGTTCGAAGGTAACACAGCACCTGATCTTTCTGAATTCTACCAAATCACTTACCCCATCGCCCTATAAATAGCGAGGAAAAATAATTGGTCATTAAAGTGAAAACGAACTTAGTATTGTTATTCGACACCAGAGAATGTTCCAATTTTTTTCCGTCGTTCTTGGAAGTTTGATAATAAAAAGCGTATGATTCCTCTAACCAATGATTGTAACAAGCCGACAGGAACTATATAAAATTTTAAATATTATATTTCGCTTCGCAAGCCGTCGGGTCACACGCAACAAGCCAGTTGGAATATTCTGTTCTAGATAGAAACGTTTAATTTTGTGAAATTCAGCCATCTTCAAAAGATTTCCGAAGTCGAGATTAAAATTCGTAGAAGTAACAGAAAATACACCGAAGTTGGTATTTCTGCAAATGCAACCTGTTCGAAATTACCTGCCTTTGTAGATTATAGGTTGCGTAATCTCATGAATTTTAAGCCATCGATCTAGAGAAGGTTTAATTCAAAGGGCACCTAAAAGAACGACAAAAAAAAAAGTTTCTGGTAGGCATCTAATGGAGAAATAATTTGAGTTCGTATTTTTTNATTTTAGTGAGTTCTTTTTTTTTTTTTTTTTAAAGATAAAACTGAATGATAAAGAATAATGATTGGAAAAAATCAGGGAGGGAGACAAATTTAAGGGCTAAAAAGGTCAAACATCTATTGTGAAAAGAAAAACAGTACTCATTTCCATGGAAATCCCAATTATCAACTTTACAATGACGGCATAGTTTTGTTTTTGTTGGTAAGCCAACATTTTATTTTATAACCGTCGTTGAACAGCCGACCCAATTTTTAGGTTTTCGACAACTAATGTTCAACTCCGTAGCCTCGTAATTTTAAACCTTATCTGGAAGACAAGGTTTATCCTGGAGTAGGTATCTCCTGGATCAAGTATTAGGATGAATTTGCCTTCGTGGAGAACTTTTTGAGGGAACCCACCCGCATTTGCGTTACAAGGAGAGGAAGAACGCGAGAACCACCCACGGTTGGCCTGACGGCAAGGGGACTCTAACCCATGTTCCGTCTACCACTGAGGATAGTTCACGTCAGCACCGTGGTCGGTACAAGCCGGATGCGGAATCCGTATCCATCAGCTATAATTGGGATTCGAACCCGGTTCACCTTATTGGAAGGCGAACGCTCTATTTCCTGAGCCATCGGCTCGTAAGCCTAACATTGACAACATCCTACAATATTTTATTCTTTTGCAAAAATCCTTACTATCTGCCCGTTATTATTCGAATACTAAAACATATTCTAAACGCTTATTCAATTTCTGAAGAGAAACATTTTCTTGTTTAAACCTAAAAACTGTACTTAAATACACAAATAGAAAGTTTGTGGAACAACAATTTTGAAAGAACGAAATTCGTATTACTCTTGGGTAACATATGACATACTTTATTTTTATCAAAAATATCATGTTTTAAAGTCGAATTCAGAAATTATGTAAAATATGTGCATTTCACAGATCAGGAGGGTCACAGAGGTTGAGACTTCAGAATTTCATGACCAACAGTATGACTACGAAGATGTGGTCAGCACTACTCACAAGTCTTCCCTTTGATATGAAGCTGGTTTGGCTTGAAGTCGCCGCAAGGGATCGAATCCCAATTCTACAATATGAACGGAAAAATATTAAAAAATGTTCTTAATTGTATTAGATGTTGAGGGCTCCGCTTACCTTTCCCACCAAGTTATTTCTTAAAGATTGTCTCCCAGCAGAAGTAAAATATATGAAATTAAAATATTAATTTTTTCTTTAAATTCTTACAACAAAATTAGGTTCTTGATTAGAATGGAATAAAATAGAAAACTTCATCTGCAACTTCATATTTCATAGCAACTTCATCTGCAATTTTGTTTTTAAATTTCGATGTAATTTCTGGGTACTATAAAAACTCTTAAAATATTTTTCGCCAAACCGATTATTTAGTAATAGAGCAACCATAAAATATCAAAGGTTCATCACTGAAAATTATTTATTAATTAGAGTTTTATATATACATGAATACATTCGAATAAATGTTCAATTATAAATAAAATTCCTTAAACTTTTAAAATTCATCGTTAATACGGAACCTGTATTTCTGTGCTTTGTCAAAAACTCCACCCTTTGGAGCTTTTTTTCTTATTTATCATTTTGATCGGAGTGAAGGAGGCCGAAACAATGCGTAAATTGTAATTGAAACGAACACTACAATTATATTCAACATAGTCTGTAAAACATAAGAACATTACATGCTACACATTTCCGGAGCCATGTTTCGTACTTAAATAGATATTTTTCGAGCGCGATTTAGCTCTAAAATAGATATTTTATAAGTCATAACTTACATTTAGTCCCAAAACTAGTCTAGGCGAAATTTAGTCGAAAACTTACATTTAGTCACAAAACAGATTTTCTCTGAGAGAGATTTGGTCTAGTCTAAGTATATTTTTCGAACGAAGTTTTGTGAACGCGCTTGCATGACTAAAGATTTTGGCTCCATACTATAAAAAGTGTATTTACGCTGAATTTTTATTCGTTTTTTTTATAACCACTATAAAATACTTATCATCAGGAATGTTACCAAAAAAAAAGTTATGAGACATTCGAACAAAGCAGTGCAATTTATAGAGCCACTTTTCTCGCAAGTGTAACTCATTAAAAGTGATGTAAAAGTAGTAGATGTTTTGAAGATACTGGCATAAGGAATTTACAGTGGGGGCGAAGTTAAGAGAGAGAAAAAAAAATCTGAAATTCTATACCTAGCTGTGAGATCTTGGAAACAGATGTGAAGGGGGGGGAACACACACACACCGGGGTATGCTGTGCAGATGCATATTTGTGTTTGTCATCTTACTGGGGGTCATGCTTTGCTTGGTGGTGGTGGTGAAGTTCAACTTCCTCTTCAACTAAATTTATCATCTCTTTCGCAGTATGATAGTAATCAAACAACTTTCTGTTTAGATTTCTGCTAAATGAATTAAATGTACTATTTGTGGAAGAAATGATCAGATAGCATAGACTGAGGTTTGTTGAACATCCTATAGAAAAATTAAAACGAATACAGTTTAACATACAGTTTAAGTCAACAGAGCTAACAACACAGTTAATAATAAAATTGGCCTTATTACTAAGTAATGGGAAATTTTTTTTTTATCCGAAACATATTTTGATAAATTTCGTTTTATTCAAAAACATTTAGCTTAAAACGGATTAAAAGAATATGATTTAAATAACGCAAAATATTGTTTAAACCTATATAGTGATTAAATTGTAAAATCAGTTTCTCACATATTTTCTATAAATAAATAATAATTTTTCTTTTTCAAATTTTGTACAGTTTATGATATAACAATTNTCAAGCATTTTTCTTTTTTAAATTTAATAAGCCACATTAAAGAAGGAACGTTGCAATGCTACACGCTACATCTCCAGAGCAACTGAATATGGAAATCGCAGGTAAGCGTCTCATACAACAACGCCCCCTATAGTTCGTTGAAATCGCGAATTACTTATTGATAAGAATTACTTGGAACACAAAGTTATCAAGCTAACGATTTTATTACAAAGTTTTAAAATTTTGGCAATCGTTTTCTATTTCTCAGTTCTATCGTTAAATAAATTAATGGTTTAAAAGACACTTTTTGCGAGATACATTATTCTACAAGCAATTCTACCTTGGTAAAAACCACACAATTTTTCGAGCAAATGATTCTTTGAAGCATTTTTAAATTTGAAGATGTTTTCTACTTTTAAGTTGAAGAGTTTTTGTTGCATAAAATAATGCATATTAAGACACTTTTAGTGAGTAGTTCATTATTTTACAAGCAATTCACTTTTTTTAAAGTGAGAAAAAACAAACACAATATTAGAATCAGTAGTAGTACGATTTTTTTTTTGTGTGTTTTTTTTGTAAATAGCTGTGCCCTTTTAATTTTTAAAAGTGGTTTTCAAATAAAATAAGGCAAATATTTTTGCGTAGCAAAGTAATCTACAAACAATCTTTTAAGTCAAAATAGGAATATATTTTTTTCAGTTATCAATTTACGAAAATCGTTTCCTACTTCCTAGTTTTAAACTTCTGTCGTTAAGTAAAATAATGGACAAAAAGACACTTTTCGTGATTTCAATTGATTATTCTACCAGCAATTCTATCTTCGGAAAAGCAACGAAATTTTTCAAGCAAACGATTCTTTGAAATAGTACTTGGAAAATCTGAAGATGTTTTCTACTTTTAGAGGGTAGCTCATTATTTTACAAGCAATTCATTTTTTTTAGGAAGAAAAAGAACACAATATTAGAATCAGCAAGCGATTTCTTGCAAATCTTTTTTAAATTTTACAAACCGTTTTCACCCTTTTAGTTTTTAACAGCTGTTCTCAAATAAAATAATGCAAATATTTTTGCGTAGTAAAGTAATCAACAAACAATGTTTTAAGTAAAAATAGGAATATATTTTTTTCAGTTTTCAAATTACGAAAATCATTTTCGACCTCCTGGTTTTGATAAAATAAAATAATCGAAAAAAAGACTTCTTAGAAAAAAATAACGCAATTTTTCGAGCAAACGATTCTTTGAAAGATTTTCAAAATTCGAAGATGTTTTCTACTTTTTAGTTCATTTTTTTTTTACATAAATAATGCATATTAAGACACTTCTAGTGCGCAGCTCATTATTTTACAGGCAATTCATTTTCCAAGGGAGAAAAAAGAACACAATATTAAAATCCAGCAAACGATTCTTTGAATTTTTTTTTTTTTTTAAATTGTGAAAATAGTTCTCAATTTTTTAGTTTTACAGCTATTTTTAAATAAAATAATGCGAAATTTTTTGTATAGCAAAGAAGCAGTTTCCAAATTTCGGAAATCTTTGACCAATCGTTAACATATGTTGTTAAATAAAATAATCTATAATAAGACACTTATTTCAAATCAAATAATTCAACAGAAGTAGTTTGGTAAATTCTACAAATATATATATCGTTAATTTTAATGAAATTTCGTATAAAAAATATGACTCAGCAGTTTTCGTTTACTTTGTTTACATACACTTTAAGAAGAATATTACAAAAATCCAAAGCTAAAATACGATGAATGTTACCAAAATAAGTTTTAATGCCATACGTTTCCAAGGCCAGCATTTTCTAATTGGCAAAATTTATCTCCTCTATTTCTTCGCTTTATCATGCAGGTTCCACATAAAATCGTTATCTAGGGAAAAACTAAAAGCACTAAACAATCGCATAAAAGGAAAATTGCGACGCAATACAAATTATAAATACTTGTCACTCATCTCTTAATTTCCCTTTCGGATTGCAAAGCGTGACGAAAAAGCATGCATGAAGAAATAAAAGGAAAGCAACAATTGTGGGAAACGTGTACAGAACAGCCTTAATTGCATTAACTCATTAACATAAATCCCGTCTCCACCCTCTGGAGCAGGCACTTTCTCTTACGGGGCGCCGACTTTTATGGCTCAATTTCTTCTGGGAGTCGCTAATAGGTATTTAAAATTATGCGCCGAAGACGCGTAAACTTTAATCTCAAACTGGACAATGCTGCGGGGAAGGTGTTTTCGTATGGGCACTTTTAAAAGTAAAGGCAGTAGCCTATTTATAAAAGTCTAGGGAAATTTTTCCTGTTTTAGGTTTAAATATTTCACAAAAATAACACATCAAGAAAAATAATTAAGGGTGTACTTCGAAGTTTTTCCGGAGAGAGAAATGAAAAAAAAGGTCATAGTTTGCGTTAAACCAGGGAGAAATCTTAAATTTTAACTATATATAGGTTATTCTCCAGAAAATGTGACTTCCCTGCCATAACTCAATTTATTTCATTATAAAGAATTTTTTCCTTTTTAAAAATTATTAAAGCTTTCCAATAATATTTTTTAAAGTAATTAAATTTATTATACCATAAATGTGTTATGACTAACAGGTAAATTTGAATGCGTAAAATGTCACTTTTATACCCTCCGTCCTGGCGAACGTAAATTACAAACTATGTGTTTTGGCGTGTGACTTTGCCAGAGCATTTGGACGTTGATATAGCTGAGGTTATATTGTGAAGGATTAGAAACAACAACAAACTATGTAATTAGAAAACCATGTTAACTATACATTATACATATTTTAAATGTATACCATATTTTTGTTAAACCTTTTTGCATTTTTTCTATTGGCTAGAAAAGTGATGTGTTTTTAAGTTTCCTTGCCACTGCGGTAACTCACTAAAAATATCTCTCTTCATGCGATGTGTCTAATTCCCTTACATGTCAATAAAGAATTGAAATATCAAGCGTGTGAGCAGTATAAGCAAGCGAAAACGTACAGGTTTACACATTTTGGAATGACAATTATTTTCTCACGCATACAACAAAAAGCTGAAACAAATTGAGCTATCAGTTGGGTAGAATTGAAAGGTTTAAGGCGAATAGTTCATGCTATCATACATGTTTTTTTAAAGCATAATTCTTGTTTTGTTTCTGTAAGTTTTCCATTGCATGTTATTTATTTCACTAACTTATTATTGACAAAAATTTTTGACTCTTTTTTAGAGGAATTAGTAAATATTTAATAAATGATTTAAATACTTAAGATTTTACGCTAGAACACATTTCAAATGGGTTTGACTTAGCAGCGAGGATGGTTTACAAAGCAAACCATAAAATATTACATTGCAATCTTCGGGGGTTGGGCAGCGACAGCGAACAGGGCCACTAGTATTATTAAATTTATCAGTAGAAGAGGTCACATATTAAATAAAATATGAATAAATAGTTCGTATGACACCTTATTCTTCATATGCAGGTAAAATATTGTAAATTTTCAGATTCAAAATTTAACATCTCGATGACCTTTAGGCAAAATATTGTTGTTCAAGATTTTGTCCCTTTTAAAATATGCTTTAAATATTTTCGCTTTGCCTTAATTAACATAAAAATCGATCGCTTTATTAAATCTACGTAAGTTACTATGTTTCTTGCTAATACTGAGTAAATTAATTTCATTAATACTAATAATTTTAAAAAAAAGCACATCATAAATCATGTTTCTATATTGATCTCATAATCGTGTATTTTTATATAACACACTTTCTGAAGAATTAAGCATATACATAGCTGCCAACATGGATAAGAAAATATCCAGTAGATTTTACAAAATAATTTAAATTTCATAATTGTTGCAAAATATCTATAATTATATAAAACGCTAATACGTACGTATGTATCAATAAAACCGATGATATTTCTTTTCTCGCGCTGGCAACAGTTTTCATTCTTAATTGATTGGATTCGGCGCGCAAGAGCACGTAGTGAGCATCATATGGCTAATCCATGTTATATAAAACGCTAATACGTTTTAATTGATAGGCTTCGGCGCGCAAGAGCACGTAGTGAGCATCATATGTCTAATCGGGTGAATTCTCACCGAATTATCAAAAAAATTCTCACAAAATTATCTTCATCGAAGCCGATGCTTTACATCCGGCGTTCAGTACTATTTCATATTGTTTTACAACACATGGTTTTAGCCCTCTGGTGGGAAAGACTTTAAAACAAAACTTACAACAGTTACTTATCTCAACAACTGACATTTAGAATAGTGTGATTAAGAAAAATATGTGAACTGTTTGCAATTTCTAATTAATATTGAAATGCACAGGTTTAGAATTTTCTACAGTGAAAAGTTTTCGGAACTTCAGTGTTCAAAAAAGTATACAAAAGCTAGACGTTAAGAACGTATTCAATGAGCGAGCATCGGATTGCGGAGCAATCCGAAATGAACTGCGAAAGCAGTTCCGGGGGTTGGCGAGAGCCAGCGAGCAGGGGGCGAAGCCTCCTAGTATACTAAATATTTTACATATAGGGAATTTTAGAGATTTTTACTGTCGTCAAAATACAGAAATTTTGTTTCACTAATAACTATGAATGGCCTGCAATATTTTTCATTCATGATTAGCATTAAATGAATTTGAAATGAATTTTTTTTTTATTACATTAACTCATAATTTTAAATAGTAGTAGACATGTTAATCGTTATTAATAATTAAAAGATTTTATAATTCAAAAAGGGAATTCTAAATAAAAATAAACTGAAATTTTTAGAACAAAGAAAAGCTTTAAACTGATTACAATAAGTGAGACTAGCTTCATTATGTATTAGTAATACTTATTTAAATATTCAAGCGCGCAATAAATTGTGTAAAAATTCAATTCCAATAAGGTTTTTTTTCTTGAAAACTTGATTCAATTTTTGAGAATGACAGATTTCATTAACAGAAAAAATGGGTCTTTTGACAGATTAAGATGTAGTTTTACAGTAAATTTCTGTAATTTTTAGAAAACGAAAATTTTCCGGAGGAAAATTTCAGAATTATTACGTTTTTAAGAGGAATTTTTTACATCTTACAATGTGTCATTACACAGCAATGATATCTTGATTGCAAATATGCAGAGTTAAAACGTACTTTTGAGCAAAATTTTGATATCATTGAAATATATTCGTTAGAAATGTTGTTAGTTACCCGAAGTTGACATCTGGGTTATAAATATTGTAACACAAAGATTTTTATACTATTGCAATATTTTAATTAGAATGTGTATAATAACGCAGCATAGACATCTTGGTTATAAATATTGTTTCGTAAATGCAGCACAATTTTTTTATTATTTTTATATTATTGCAATATTTAGGTTAAAATGTGTGTTATTACGATAAATGTGTGTTACAATTTTATACTTTTGATCTAATTTTTTACAATATTCAAATAATTCAATTAGAATGGTTTGTTAGGCAACATTGACATCGTAGTTTCAAAAACGTACTTTTAAGCAATATAATTATATCTTTACATTATTTATTTAAAATAGAAAAGGTGTTGTAAGAGTCTCAAGTTTAAAGGCTGTTTTTTATATATATATAATTGCAGAAATATTACAAAATATTCAATAAAATAAACATAAAGAAAATGGATTGACCATTACAAAATGTAATATAAACCAACAAATGTTACGAGACATAAAACGCAAAATTAAATAAACAATTAAACAGAAAAGTCCACGACCCTCCCAATAATAAGCTTAAAATCTCGATCTAAATAAATAAACCTTCGTGTTTACTTTTCTAGCTACAGCTCTAGAAACAATTATAATGCATATTCAAAGAATCCTCCAGAAAATGACCAACGGTCAATCAGACGCGAATGAGGAAAGGCAGCTGGCCCACCCAATAACAGCATTAGCACGTGTTGAGCTTCGGCACATGAGAGACAAGTGAGGGGGAGGGGGATTGTCCAATCGATGTTATAATATGGAACAAGAGAGAAAAGAAGGGTGAGAAAAGGTGAGTTGTTGTAGATGAAGAAATGGATCAATTGGCGAGATAGGAGGCAGATCGATGGCGCCAAGGGCAGAGGGAAAAGATGCAGCGACGTTTCCTTTCTCAGTTTTCCTTCGCCGATAGGGATGAGATGAATTAGCCGGACTCTTACCTATTCTTTACCTTTTCGGCTTTGCGTTTCCCCGCGACCGCCGGGCCTCGTTTCTTCTCTCGCGGAAGATCTGGTTAGGGTCTGGGGGGAAGCGGTCATAACGGGGGCGCATGCACCGTGACGGAGAATTTCGCTCATCTGCGGTATTCCGCGTTCAGAAGGGAAAGTGACAATTCTTATTTTATTTCCAAGATTTATGAGAGTCAGATATTATTACGTTGAGAGATAAATTTAAAACTTATTTATATTGAATGAAATAAATTAAAAAATATTTATTGAAAAATAGTTAAAAAAAATATTATTAGTTGTTATAAGCAGATTGCATCAACGAGGAGTATTTATTTAAGACATAATGTTATTAAAATATAATTTTGTTTATTTATTTAGAAGACAGAAAAATTTATAATGATGCCATAACAGTTTGTAATAATAAAACAAAGAAGCAGTCAAAGTAAGTTCTTTCTTCGACAGTTGAAAGAAAATTTCAATTGTTTTTCGTTTTAAAATATTAAAGTGGAAAAGTAGCAGTTGATTGTTTACATACATCATCTAGCAGATTCAAAAGTAAGTATATATTTGTTTGTTATGTAAGACTGAAGGAGCTCTAGTTAAAAACTTAGTTTATGAAATAAATATTCGACGTAAATAAAGCAGATAAGATTTCGTTTAAATTTTAGGAAAATAATTGTTAAAATTTGATTTTGACGATCAATAATAAATACTAAATAAATCATTAGAAAATTTGCAAAAATGTTATTAAATTAGTTAAATAACCAATTAAAAATAGATAAAATGCAATTCAAATAGCTGATATAAAAACATATTTTAACTAATATATTTTCATGGTGAGCACTTAATCAAACATAACAAAATTAGAAGAAAGATTTTTTTTTCATTATTTATTAAAGTAAATACAAATAAATGATTTAAAAAGAGTATAACATTATAGAAAATGTTTTACAATATTTTTTGTGCAAAAATGTTGAAATATTTATGTACTATTAAATGATTTTTTTTATAGATTAGTCTATAGATAAAATGACACCATTTACAGATAATTATTGCACATCAAAATTAATACAAATACAAATTAGCTGATTTCAAAAGCAATTGTTATATTTAAGGATGCCCACAATAGAAAATTAGTTTCATATGTATTTATAATAAAAGTATGTAATTAAATTTTGTAATTTAACTAAAAACTATACATTTAAAAACTAAAATGGTTTCTCTAAATATTGTTATAAAATTGTAATAAACGATTTGCACTACAAAATGCAAATATTCGGTTTAATAGGATAATGTGATTTACATTATAAAACAATTATGCACAGATAAAATATTAATAATATGCAATTGTTATTTTAAATATCAAAAAACATAAAATGAAACAATTCAATAAATATGCACAATATAACGCTGTTTGAAGAAAAATCATACGCATTAACTAACATAGAAACATTATTCATTGGAAAAAAATATTAAAAATGTATTAAAATTATTAATCATAAATTTAAAAAAAACTTTCAAATAGAAAAATTGCATGTAAAGTTATTTTACGTTATAAGAACATTTAGTAAAACAACGCACAAAACTGATTCTAAACTGATATTGTAAAATATAATTTTTTTTTAACAAGATGAAATAAAACGCATTTTTTTTTTTTTTACAATATAGTTAATTTAATTTAAAGAAAAATATTTTTTTCCCCTTAATACTATTTATTGGAGGCAATTCGAGATGATTATTGCTTAAGAGTTTATACTGAATATAAGTATATTTTTGTTAAACAATATTTTAGTTCATATAGCATTATAAAAAATTTAAAAATCCTATTTTAGTATAAAATTTTTTTTTGGGGTATTTACTACTTAATGTAGAATTTTTCACACAGTAATCTTAAAATAACATTTTGATCAATAACATCATATAATATTTAAAAAAATTCTATTTTATTAATAAAAGTTGTTTTTTCATAGCAATTTCAATATTACCAAGATAGAGAAGGTATGGACAATGTTCATAATAACTGAAAATTATGTGCTTTTTTGTGTAGAAATTGTTTTATTTTTATCATGCTTTCATAATTCATATTTTCTATAAAAAAATAAAATAATAAAAAAAAGAACAAAATGAATTACAAGTAGTTAATTGACACCTTTATATCTAGCGAAGAACGTTAATAGAAAATAATAAATAATTGACGGCAATAGAGTTAATTCATTTATCGAATAAATTGGTAGTTTGATATTTCGTTTTTCATTGAAGGCCCCTTTAATGTAGAAATGTCCAAACAATATCCAAAATCAATAAATAGTAACTCACCAGTAAATTTTTACCAATCGCTTCTTTATTTAAAGCTAAGACGTTGCGAAATAATCGTGTTTCAAATCTGGAATAAAAAGAACAACTATTAGTAATTTAGATAAAAAATTTCAAGTGAAACTAAAAATTCAAAATTTTTATTCTTTTCTAAGTAGTTCAAAATTGTTTACTAGTTTCCAGCTAAATGTTGCTTGTTTTTTAAATTTTTTTTTAAACTTATTTTCTGAAAATGTTTCATAATGCAATATCATACTTTAGTATATCATTGCAAAATCATAAATTATTAATTCTTCAAAATAAAAAATAAATATAAAAAAATATATATACATAATTTGAAAATGAATTAATTAATGTAAGAAATATACATTATTAAATTAATATAAAAATTGAAATGAATTGAATTCAGATTAATAAAAAATTAGAACTAAATCTTCACCCCCCCCCCAACAATTTTNATATTACACAACACACACAATCAATATTTAATTGTTCATTGGCTTGCTTTATGAAATTTCTGAAAGAACAAAAAATTTTACTTATTAAAAATTTACTATCGTCAAAATTTAATGTCTTTTGTTTTTATTTGTATTTTAACTTTTAAAAATGAGAAGAAAAAATTTAATTGTATGTAAATTGTGATTACAGAAATTTAATAGTTAAAACTCTATATATATTCGCCACTTTTTCGCCTTATTTTTTTAGCATTTACATTTTAACACCAAAATAACAAACAAAAAAAACTTTTTTTTCGTTCAATTATTATTAAAATACCTTATTAGTTACATTCAAGATAAGAAACTGCAGTTCTAAAAAATGATTTTCCACAATTTATTATAATTTTTGAACAATTAAAACAATTTAAACCATACATAAATAAAACAGAGTGAAGGGAGTTTATGAAAAAAAGGAAGAAAATGAATTGATAAATTTTATTTGAGGTAATTGGATGATTGAAAATATATGCACAAGCACATTGAATAAGATAATAATAAAAAAATTAATAAATAAGTAAATGGAACAATTAAAATTACATATTTATTATTGTTTGAAGGAACAAAAGAAAACTTATTTGTTCAATAACATTTTTCCACATATTAGTATTATCATATATATCCCTGTGTATAAGACGAACCCCTATTTTTGAATACAAGATAAAAAAAAATTAAAATGAAAGAAAATGACAAATTAATTGAATATAACTTATTAAAAATAGTTTTTGAAAGGGGTAAAGTGATACAGAGTTATTTATATCTATTTCATAATGAATCAATATTTCACGATCAACGAATGTCCAACTTCCGTCTATTTTAGTAAAACTTTGGGGGTTTAAAAAGTCAACTTATATTCTGGGATATACAGTTGTTTATTTAGATCAGTATTATTAAAGGAAATTATTTTCTATTTTCCACTATTAGCAGGTCAAATAAACAATTTAAAAGTCAAATAATATCACTTGGAAAATAAAAACAATTTTTTTGACATAAAGCTTTTAACTTATAAACGAGAGCCGGTACAAAATAATAATTAATAAAAAATATTTATATCATTCCTTTACTCATTAAGTTTGACTCGTAGAAAAGAAATACGAGTTTAATACAGATCACTTAAAATAGTTTTTTCAATAACAAAGAAATAACAATAATAATGATTTAAACGGAAGGCTAAGTATATAGTTTAGTAAAATAACGACGCTTAAAAAAAAAGCAAAAACAAACAAATGGATATAAAGAAAAATTATTTGTGAGATAAAATCAGCTAAACTAATATTTACCCACAATTTCTCATTTATTTATTTCGTTAATTTATCCACACATTTTTTATTATTATTATTTAAGTTTCTATATAAAATATAAATCAGATGAAAATGATCCTTGTTTTCTCACTGGATACATAAATCTTAGGTAGTCATCGACATACATTTAATAAAAATTAAGAAGTATTGTTTACCTGTAAAATATTTCTTTAAATTTACATCCTTTTTTAGTATTTTTTGCTGTTGTAACGTCTTCGATTTTGATAATGATTTTACATTTAAGGATTAAAATTAAAAGCGATGGTTGTTAAATAAAATAACTCAAACGATTTTGCTCTATCACGCATCATTATATGATAAATATATTTAAATCACACGAAGAAAAATGTCTGGTAAAATTACCGTACTGTATGGCAACGACAATTCTGGTGCGAAAAACCATAATTCTGGTAAAAACCATAAAATATATAGTATTTAAACCATTCATTTGGTAATTTTTCTGTTCACATGGTAACGGTTTATCGGAAATACTGGTTTTCAAAATTATAGTTCATGTTTCCCCACATTAAATAAAACATGCAGTCAATTTGACTCAATAAATAGTTTTTTTATACCATGCTCCAAGATACCATCATAAAATTATAGCAATTTACCACATTTACCAAATTTTTTAACATATTATAAAACCATGTTTTATTGTTAATTATACTAAAATCATTAACAAAGAGCTTCGGTAAAAATTACCGAGCTTATTAGTGGCTCCAGAACCATATTTCGACCACACTTTTCTTTCTAAACAATTTGGGAACCGCTGCTTTACAGTAATCAACAACCATCTGTTTTCTGAAATTTATACATGTTCTTTTCAACAACAACAAAAAAAATCACAATTATTTTCAAACTAAAACTGAAGGAGTAGACAGACAGTTCTTAGTATTCAAACTGTTGATGCATGCATATTTCTCACATAGTCGTGGAATTTTCTGTTTATAAATAGAAATTTACCTTAAGCGAGAATGTACTTCAACTTTAACTATTCCGCAAAATCGTTTTCGCTTCGATACACAGACGAATCAGCTACAAGAGAATAAGTTTCCCGCATTTGACCTGTTATTTTGTGGAAATTTATTCCAAAAAGGTGCGTGGAAATAGAGTTGGGTAGCCATTCACTTAAAAAAATTGTGGCGATGGCAGCAGACAAAAATTTGAGACAGAAAGTGCCTCATAGTTTAGTCTTTATTTCAAATGTCAGACAATACTATGTCTGGTTTCGGGCACTCTCACTTTCTGGAAGCGTGAGAAGAAATAACTAGAAATTATGTCAAAGCATTTTCACGAATTTCCGATTCCTCCTACTCTTTTCGCTTTTGAAGTGTGATGTTACTTTTTATCTCAAACAATGCATGAAGAACTCGTTTACATCGTTATTCACAATCCTTTATTACTAGACAACGCATAATTAATTTATAACATAGTGAGGGAAAAAATGAAAATTTTCAAAACATATTATTTTGCAGGAAAAAAATTTCCCTTCTTAAAAAATGGAATCTTTTATAAATAATAAAATTATTTGATATTTTAAAACGCTTTCTTTTACACGTCAAAAGAGCATTTAAAAAACTGAAATGTAGAAATAAATATGTATTTGTATGTCTTTATTTATAAGCTTGTAAAAATAAACTTAGGTAAACAGGAATGGTTGTTCTTCAGGGAACCACAATAGTGTTCTCAAAAGATTAATACATAAATATATATATGCACACAATCATTTGCGAGATATATTAAGATAACTATACTAGTTTTAATTGCTGGAAAAACTTAAGAGAAATAAGGAGCAGTTCAACATACTGAAAAAATAATGTTTTATAGTAAATGAAATAGTATAGTTTAACTGAACTATCTTAAAGTAACTTATAGATTGTATTTTGACAGGGCGGATCTTCCAAAAGAAAATGAGAAATAAAATTCGCAGTTTATAAGGAAAAATTTAAAATTCTCTGCATTTTCCCCGTTATTTTAGATGATTTCAAAATGATCCAGGTTTTTTCCGAATAAAGTGGTAAATATCAACCCTTTCGAAATCGTATCCGTTATCAACAATGCCAGCTATATTATTGACGATCATTAGCGTATATTTGATTTTTCGCAAGGCATGATTGGCTATAATTGTCACATATTTGATATTTATCGTAAGACATAACTAGTGAGAATAACGTTTAAAATAGTGTTATAGCGATGTTTAAAGAAATATCGTTACTTCACGATATAATGCAGAGCTGTAGCTCACCGTTGAGTTCGTGCAATAGTCAATAGAAGCAGTTCTCTCTTTAATAGTAACAGTAACTATTATATACATTTCGATTCACTTGAACAGTTCTAGAACATAAACTATTCGACCCACCCCTTTCAATGATTCGATATCCTCTAAATCAGCAAGAGGCTCATTACATCAATTTTCCATCGGATTCTCATCGGCATATTTGGAATTCTAAGAATTAGAAATCAATGGATCAGATGGGCACTCTTCGCTGACCGTTGTCCAGCCAACGCGATGATTAAAGGAGAAGGCTGGATCGATCCAACAGTTCATCCAATGGGAAACTGCTGGCAACTCACGATCAAGAATGCCAGCCGATCGAAATTCTAATTTCGAAACCCCCTGTCCGCCAATTACAGGTAATTACTCTCCCTTGGAACATTGCTTCTCTTCACTGTAATCTCATTCGAAATAAACTACTTTGCAATAAGTAATAAATACAGAAAGGATTAGCATTTTTTAATGTCCAGAATTATTAAATATTTTAGAAGAAAAAGAGTTCTAAATTTAGAACCTAAAATATTGCGTAAAGGTAAACAGATAATTGGGGGGCAGACTTAAAAGCTTTCTGCGAATACCAAATCTAAATTAAAAAACTTTCTGCAATCAATTTATTAAATCTTGTAACAAGTTTTAACTTTTTTGTCGTCACCTCATATCGGAGTTGGCCGTCGATTACAGTAATTGATTACAGATGATTACTGCTATGTAATCAAATACTTGTAATCACGATTACAAGTAATCGCGAATTACAAGTAATCATAATTTTTGATTACATCAGAGTAGAGTAAAAATTATTACAAATTTTGATCACAACTGTAATCGTGATTACAATACTCAATTACAGTAATCAATTACTTGTAGTCATGATTACAGTTGTAATCAAAATTTTGGTAAATTGTAATCAAGATTACAAGCAATTGATTACTGTGATCAATTATTGTAATCACGATTACAAGTAATTGATTACTGTAATTGTTTGTTGTAATCACGATTA